CAAACGACTAAATGCGTATGAGGAGTATAAACCGATCATGACTGTAAACGGGCTTTCGTTTATGGATAATGCGTCTTTGTAAATGATCAGCCCTGCTAGACAGGATATTTTTAAAGCATTTGAAATCGGGAGCTTGACGGACAACTGTTTGCTTCAAAAACAATTCCAAGCCTTATTTCTTCTTTTTTTGGCAAGGACGCAGATTCGAATCTTTACTCCGAACGAATAAAAGCAACTTTCACTCACCGATTATCTGAAATGCCTTTTCCGTATTCTGTATAATTACGCGTTCATTGGATTCAAATAGTTGCCCCTTCAACTGATGCGCTATGTAGTTGCAGAGAGCAGACGCGAACCAGCATTTATCTTTCTTGATTATTTTACTAATCGCTATTGGATGAGTGTTTTCTTTCTTTTAGTACTGACACTATATTTCCAATAACCGTACTGTTAACCTTCTTTTTCCATAGCTCAAACCCCTAGAATACCCTCTGAGGGATATTCTCAAATGCTGGCATGAACAAAACATTCTCAACTTCCGACTGCGCTCTTCTAACACGCTGCATCAGTGGCTCTGCACTGAAGTGACGGTAATTCCCGCTTTTTTAACTTGTCTCATATTCCTTCTAGGCTATCAATGCAGCCGACCTGTTAAGATGCCATATACAACGCCACATTATGCAGTTACCGAGCAGCTGAGGGGTGAGGTCGCAGCCCCCCATCCGCTCAGGAAAGTCCCGGTTTCAGCTCGAGTCCGAGCACGGATGTCCCTCTTCCTGCATGAAGCCTTTTGATAAATCTTAGTTACCGTCTCTCTGTGTGTGTGAGCGCGCGCGAGTGCGTGACTGTGTGCGTGAGCGAGCGTGTAGGCTGTAGACCAGAAATTCTGCCTTTGGTGTGTGTGCGTGGTCCCCTCTCACTGCTTATTTGTTTATCTGCCAAAATCCTGCGGAAAAAAGGCCTTCTAGATTTTGGTGCATTTCTTTTTTGTCCTCGGACCAGACATGGCCGGAACGCCGATATTATTTACAAACAGAAAAAAACGTGGCATATTAAGAACGCTTTCTCGTTTAAATAAAATACGTTCAAAAATCCGGTTTTATTGGGCTTTGATGACATCGTTTGTGTACCTACTAGCACCAGTCCCGCGGGGTACGAGGGGATTTCACGGGGATAGAGGCGGTAAATGCTGGGGATATTGTGGGATAATTCAGCCATGTGGCCCCCTCTTACCCCTCCACCGGGAAGGATGCGCTGAGAGAGGCCTATTTTCGCAATATTGATAGCCCGGCCATATGGATCCTTCGCTATACTTACTGTCGTATGACGTAGAACACAAGATGATAATCAAGGGTGGTGGATAATTAATTGAGAGGAAAAATGTAGTTTGAAAATATGTACATATAACGCGCCAATTGAATTTTCCCGCAAGCATTGCCTTTTAAATGTCTTTCGACTTGGTATCGATTATGAGGGCATGAAC